ACCACATATACTCGTCTGGGAAGTGATGCAGCAACGACCGCTCTTCGTATGGAATACGCTTTGAGAAGAAACGAAGCGATGCTGCAAAGAAAAGGCATGCCGAGATTGGGTTATTCAATATTAGTTGGGTGCCAAAGGACCACCAATGAAAGCCCACATAACTATCGGCAGATATGCAGAAAATAAAAACCAGTAAGAATGTCGTATGCATGGACCCAGTCCCAAATGATTTACCAGTTCACGTACCTAGGGTGCCGAAGGTATTTGTAGATACCGCGGGTCACTAAGACATGGCTATCTTTCCTCTCCATCTGTATTAAGTGATTGAACGATTCACCACATGTCACCATCGCTAGTGATCTAATAAACTGCCCAATCACAACCATTACTACTCCCAACATGGATATCCTTAGACTAAAGCATCCCGGGAAGAAGGTAAACATGAATGTAAACTCCATCGCAGCAAAGAGGTGTGCCCCAGTGTAAGCTCTGGAGTGGTTCACCAAGTATGAATCACTGGACAGTTGGGTTGGATTCGAAAGAGCTGCAGCATATCGCTGGTTGGAAATCGTACTTAAAAAATGATTAGAATATCAAATAGTACAAAAATTCTCACCTGTAACAAAAAACTCCAAGAGATGAAACGTACTGAGGCATATCCCGTAGACTCCCCACATTTCCAACGAGGCATATCCCATGGAGTGCCCGAACAATGCAAGTGCAAAATGAATTCCCAATGATAAGCCCAAGAGAGCACCCACCAAACCAACTCGCCCTAAGGAATGTGGGGTGGAAAACTGAGGAAAATCTGTCATGATCCGACGACAGTAGCAAAGTCAACCAAGAGTCAGATACCGTACATGAAGGTTGCCTGAATACGAATTGCAACGAGAGTCAAAAGCCTAAACGAGTGAGTGCTACTGTATCGTTAAATTGAGTAGCAGCGAGGTACGAGGGATTTGGGACGAAAACGAGTACGATGACAAACATGGGGATTTTACTGCAGGTGTTGGCTAGCGAAGGACGGACTGATCGGAACGCCCAAGTACGTATGCAAAGAAGGTACAGTAGCAGGACAGTGGAAAGCTACGTACCAAAGAGGTTGTGAAAGAAGTTGGT